GGCCCGGAGCGAGGGCCTCCCCCTGCTGCAGGCCCAGCTGGCCACGGGGGGCGTGGTGGAGCCCGTCCACGGGGTGCGCCTTCCCCCGGCCACGGCCTGCAGGCGTGGCCTGCTGGACGAGCCGACGAGCCGGGTGCTGACCGGGACGGACGAGGACAGCAGGTTCTTCTTCGACCCCCACAAGCGGGAGAAGCTGACGTACCAGCAGCTGCTGGGGCGCTGTGTCCAGGACGCCGAGACCGGCCTGTGGCTGCTGCCGCTTCCCCAGGAGGCCGCACTCGGGGTGGACGAGCACACGGCCATGGCGCTGAGGGCCATGAAGGTGCAGGTCAGCGCCGGCCGCTTCCAAGGCCACAGCGTGTCCCTCTGGGAGCTCCTGCACTCGGAGTACGTCTCCGCCGAGAGGCGGCGGGAGCTGGCCGCCCTCTGCCAGTCCGGCCGGGCCGCCGCCCTACGCCAGGTGGTCGGTGCGGTCAGCGCGCTGGTCGAGGCAGCGGTCCCCTCGCCCGCGCTGCCCACCTTCAGAGGACTCCGCAAGCAGGTGTCGGCCAGCGACCTGTTCCAGGCGCAGCTCATCGACAAGAAGACGCTGGACGAGCTGACCCAGGGCCGGCGGACGGCGCAGGAGGTGGCCGAGACGGACGGCGTGCGGCGCTTCCTGGAAGGGGCCGACTTCATCGCCGGTGTCCGCGTCCAGGACACGGGCGAGAAGATGAGCATCTCGGACGCGCTGCGGCGCGGCCTGCTGCGGCCCGGCACGGCCCTGGTGCTGCTGGAGGCCCAGGCGGCCACCGGCTTCCTGGTCGACCCGAAGGCCAACAGGAGGCTCAGCGTGTACCAGGCCCGGGAGCGCGGCCTGCTGCGGCCCGGCACGGCCCTGGTGCTGCTGGAGGCCCAGGCGGCCACCGGCTTCCTGGTCGACCCGAAGGCCAACAGGAGGCTGACCGTGGAGCAGGCGCTCCGGGCCGGCCTGGTGGGCCCCGAGCTGCGGGACAAGCTGCTGGCGGCCGAGCGCGCCGTCACCGGCTACACGGACCCCTACACCGGCGGGCGGATCTCGCTCTTCCAGGCCATGCAGAAGGGCCTGATCGTGCGGGACCACGGCGTCCGGCTGCTGGAGGCCCAG